AAACAACATGAATGTAACAACCACATCCTGAAGATTCTTGTTTGTTGTCTTCAAATAGTCTGAGCCCAAGTCTCCATGAATAAACAACTGTTTACTGTAGAGAAACAAAGACCACGAGATCTGAATATAAGAGGTTTTGTCTGTTAAAGACAGAAACAAGATCAGTCTTTCCTTCACCATATTAAAAAATATTATTGATAGAGAAATTATTTTTTATATGAGATCACCTTAAATTATGTCAACCTACTGTTAGGTGTCATGTTGTTTAGACCTGGTTTAGTCCTGGTTTAGTCCTGATTTTAGACCAGGTCTAGACCTGGTCTTTACTTCTGGTTTAGTCCTAGTTTAAACCTGGTTTAGTCCTAGTTTAAACTGTAACTACGGAAGGAGACGTGGTCCGCGGGTTCTCAGGTTGATGATGATGATGAAGGTGTGTGTGTTTGTGTGTGTTTGTGTGCGCGTCCCCTCATGTGGCAGGTCACTATAGGACAGTAGTGCAGATATTATGAGTCTATGCAGGTTGTTTTCACCAGTGCCAGTAGTGCTGCATATTTCATTCCCTCCGTTACCGACATGAGTTTTTTAAATTTTTTGTCTTGAACTTGAAAGAATCTCACAGGTTTAACTTGACCCTGTTGGAGTGTAACTCTTTCCTACATTCTGATACTTTACTTATTTCAATAGTTCCTCTAGTTTCTGAATAAGAGACATTTGAATGTCAAAAATCTGCCTGTTTCCCTCCGTTACCACTGGATCAGACCCCGGTGCCTGCGGAGGCTCGGACACGTTGCATCTCACGTGGTCAAAAAAAAAGAAAAAAAGTGTAAAGAAAAGACGTCAAACTTAAAGAAACTCTCGCGGTGGACTTTTTCAAAATAAAAGCCACTGAGCAACAGACGTTTACAATAAAATAAATAAATAAATAATAAAAACTGTTACCCTACTCTTACCCCATTAAAAACACAGTGGAGCACTTCCTGTATCACCACATGACATCACGAGGTGGAACAACAAATGTCCTAACGTAATGACAGACAGTGTTTTCAGTTTGAGCGAAGAACTGTTTTTAATCAAGATTATAACATTATAACACGGATCGGAAAACAAACAGTGTAATCCGGGCCTTTTAAAGCTGCAGTACGTAACTTTTTGCACTTGGAGATGTTGTTGCTTTACTTAAAATGTTACACAGTACGGCATTAAACGGATTTTTGTTGCATTTGTACAATTTCAGGTGATTTGCAGCTTAAGAAAATACCTCATAGCGCGGAGATGGATACGTTTAATGCCCTAATGTGGAGCTTTTCCAACACAGCATTGGCATCTCCATGGAGACAAGCACATGGCAGAAAAGTCCCACAGTGCATCTTTAAAAAACACATTACTACAAACTTACCGACGTCAGAGAGCGTAGTCGTCTCGTGTTTCCAAATTGCTGACACTTTAAACCTGGAGTAAACTTCAGAAACGTCGCACTTTTAAAAACGCCAAAATTACGGCGGCCATTTTGAGGACTGTATTTTGCGGTGATGTCGGGCCTGTAATCGAAGGAAGTGCGCCGCTCCCGAGTGTGTGATTTGAGTAATTAAAGTCAAAATGAGAAAGAGAGACGTTTGAAATTGAGATTTGAAAAGCCTGAGGTGTGATACGAGAGCGTAAACACGGAGACGCTCAAATCAGAGAAAAATGAGTTAAATTTACTAAAAAATGTGAAGAAATTGTAAGAATTTTTACTTTGACGCGTTTAAAAGTGTCACTGTTTTACTTAAACTCACTCAGACTGATTCTACGGACTAAACCAGGACTAAACCAGGACTAAACCAGGACTAAACCAGAACTAAACCAGGTCTAAACCAGAACTAAAACCAGGTCTAAACTTGAACTAAACCAGGTCTAAACTTGCACTAAACTTGGACTAAACCAGGACTAAATCAGGACTAAACCAGAACTAAAACCAGGTCTAAACTTGGACTAAACCAGGACTAAACTAACACTTAACCAGGACATGGACCAAACATAGACCAACCATGGACCAAACATGGACTAAAACTGGACTAAACATGGACCAAACATGGACCAAACATGGACCAAAACAGGACTAAACATGGACCAAAACAGGACTAAACATGGACCAAAACAGGACTAAACATGGACCAAAACAGGACTAAACATGGACCAAAACAGGACTAAACATGGACTAAATATGGACTAAACCTGGACCAAACATGGACCAAAACAGGACCAAACATGGACCAAACCTGGACTAAACCTGGACCAAACCTGGACCAAACCTCGACCAAACATGAACCAAACATGGACTAAATATGGACTAAACCTGAACCAAATCTGGACCAAACCTGGACTAAACATGGACCAAACCTGGACCAACTGGACCAAACCAGGATCAGACCTGGACTAAACATGGACCAAACCAGGATCAGACCTGGACTAAACATGGACCAAACCAGGATCAGACCTGGACTAAACCTGGACCAAACATGGACCAAACATGGACTAAATATGGACTAAACCTGAACCAAATCTGGACCAAACCTGGACTAAACATGGACCAAACCA